CTGCTGTAGCATAGTCTGCTGCTGCTGTAGCATAGTCTGCTGCTGCTGTAGCATCGTCTGCTGCTGCTGTAGCATCGTCTGCTGCTGCTGTAGCACTGTCAGCTGCTGCTGCTGCTGTACCACCGTCAGCTGCGGCTGCTGCTGTACCACCGTCAGCTGCGGCTGCTGCTGCTGTAGTACCATCTGCTGCTACTGTAGCATCGTCTGCTGCTGCTGTAGCATTTGTCAGCTGCTGCTGCTGCTGCTGCTGCTGCTGCTGTAGCACCGTTGTTGGTGTGACTTATTGAGAATACCAAAAAACAATTAACCCCAGAGGATTTTCCACCCAGGATAACCCAAAAAAGTCAGTGTCATCGAAGACTGTCTAACTTATTTCCATTGGGGTCCTTAATCTCGTCTCCCAGGATGCAACCCACACCAGTCGATTAACACCCAGGTGAACAGGGAAAAATGCCTGGAACTAGTGCTCATATTGGTGAATTTAAAGCCAGCAAAGGTTGGTTTGAGAGATTTAAGAATCGTAGTGGCATACACAGTGTGATAAGGCCTGTTCTGGAAGAAAATGCCAAACAGGACCTACAGTACTCAGGAGGAAAAGGCACTCCCAGGACACAGTGTCTCATCAGTCATTGCTGCATCTTCAATAAAGGTAAGTGTCATTTATTCTTCATTTAGTAGAGTAGTACATGCACAATATATATTGTGCATGTACTACTCTACTATTGTGCATGTATCCTTCTCTTTGTGTGTAGGAAAATGTATATTTCTTGTGGTAAATTTTTTTTTTCATACTTTTGGGTGTCTTGCACGGATTAATTTGATTTCCATTATTTCTTATGGGGAAAATTCATTCACATAATGATAATTTCGCCTAACAATGGGCTCTCTTGCATGGATTAATATCACTATGCGGGGGTCCACTGTAATAATAATAATAATAATAATAATCTTTATTTACTACAAGGGAAGGGGGACAAAAGACTGTAAAAATTAAATAAGTTTACCGAGTATACCAGGAAAAGTGTATGGTAGGGTTATTATTGAAAGAATTAGAGGCAAGACAGAATGTAGGATTGTGGATGAGCAAGGAGGTTTCAGAGTGGGTAGAGGATGTGTAGATCAAGTGTTTACATTGAAGCATATATGTGAACAGTATTTAGATAAAGGTAGGGAAGTTTTTATTGCATTTATGGATTTAGAAAAGGCATATGATAGAGTGGATAGGGGAGCAATGTGGCAGATGTTGCAAGTACATGTATATGGAATAGGTGATAAGTTACTAAATGCTGTAAAGTTTTTATGAGGATAGTGAGGCTCAGGTTAGGGTGTGTAGAAGAGAGGGAGACTACTTCCCGGTAAAAGTAGGTCTTAGACAGGGATGTGTAATGTCACCATGGCTGTTTAATATATTTATAGATGGGGTTTTAAAAGAAGTAAATGCTAGGGTGTTCGGAAGAGGGGTGGGATTAAATTACGGGGAATCAAATACAAAATGGGAATTGACACAGTTACTGTTTGCTGATGATACTGTGCTTATGGGCAATTTTAAAGAAAATTTGCAAAGGTTAGTGGATGAGTTTGGGAGTGTGTGTAAAGGTAGAAAGTTGAAAGTGAACATAGAAAAGATTAAGGTGATGAGGGTATCAAATGATTTAGATAAAGAAAAATTAGATATCAAATTGGGGAGGAGAAGTACGGAAAAAGTGAATGTTTTCAGATACTATTTGGGAGTTGACGTGTCAGCGGATGGATTTATGAAGGACGAGGTTAATCATAGAATTGATGAGGGAAAAAAAGCGAGTGGTGTGTTGAGGTACATGTGGAGACAAAAAAAACGTTATCTATGGAGGCAAAGAAGGGAATGTATGAAAGTATAGTAGTACCAACACTCTTATATGGGTGTGAAGCTTGGGTTGTAAATGCTGCAGCAAGGAGGAGGTTGGAGGCAGTGGAGATCTCATGTCTAAGGGCAATGTGTGGTGTAAATATTATACAGAAAATTCGGAGTGTGGAAATTAGGAGAAGGTGTGGAGTTAATAAAAGTATTAGTCAGAGGGCTGAAGAGGGGTTGTTGAGGTTGTTTGGTCATTTAGAGAGAATGGATCAAAGTAGAACGACATGGAGAGCGTATAAATCTGTAGGGGAAGGAAGGCGGGGTAGGGGTCGTCCTCGAAAAGGTTGGAAGGAAGGGGTAAAGGTTTTGTGGGCGAGGGGCCTGGACTTCCAGCAAGCGTGCGTGAGCGTGTTCGATAGGAGCGAATGGAGACAAATGGTATTTGGGACCTGACGAGCTGTTGGAGTGTGAGCAGGGTAATATTTTGTGAAGGGATTCAGGAAAACCGGTTATTTTAATATAGCTGGACTTGAGTCCTGGAAATGGGAAGTACAATGCCTGCACTCTAAAGGAGGGGTTCGGGATATTGGCAGTTTGGAGGGATATGTTGTGCATCTTTATACGTATATGCTTCTAAGCTGTTGTATCCTGGGCACCTCTGCAAAAACAGTGATTATGTGTGAGTGAGGTGAAAGTGTTGAATGATGATGAAAGTATTTTATTTTTGGGGATTTTCTTTCTTTTTGGGTCACCCTGCCTCAGTGGGAGACGGCCGACTTGTTGAAAAAAAAATGTACAAGGAATACAGGCCTAGCTGATATCAGTGACATACTACTATATAGAAAGTTCCTTGTTATGCAGAAAGTTTCGAGCAAATTAGGTCAATTTTGTTCCAGGATGTGACCCCACACCAGTTGACTAACACCCAGGTACCCATTTTACTGATGGGTGAACAGACAACCGGTGTAAGGAAACATGTTCAATGTTTCCACTCCTTCGCTGGGAACTGAACCCAGAACCTCACCATGTGAAGCTAGAGCTTTTGCCACAGAACAGCACTAGTTCATTCCTCTCTTCCTCCTTAGAAGGACAGAGTCCAGAATCTGTAATCATTTCCAGAGGCTAGAGTACAAAGTCTTATCACCAGCTTTCAGGTGGAGGTGAATCATCTACCAAGAATGTTGATCCCAGACTAGCATTTGATACTGGGGGGATGGCACCGCTTCTCAACTATTAATGTACAGTTGTCTATATACATTGTGTTAGTAAACACTTCAGCTGGCAACAACTAAATTAAACTGTATATGATAAAACAATATATAATATTTAATACTTCTTAATTGCAAGGACTGAAAATAAAATTCATTGTCCCTACATTACATAGATTGAGGACATGGTGATGTGTATGGACTGTTGATTCAGTCCAGTGTCACTGTCATCCAGCCTCTCTCTTGTATGCTGTCATGGCATTAGGTAAAGTGGTACAGCCTTGCTCATATCACCATCTCTTTTTTCTTAAATAGAGAGTATTTTTATTTATGTATATAGAAACACTACTCCATGGGGAATGGAACAGAATTCTTCCTCCGTAAGCCATGCGTGTCGTAAGAGGCGACTAAAATGCCGGGAGCAAGGGGCTAGTAACCCCTTCTCCTGTATATATTACTAAATTTAAAAGGCGAAACTTTCGTTTTTCCTTTTGGGCCACCCCACCTCAGTGGGATATGGCTGGTACGTTGAAAGAAGAAGAAACACTAATTATGTGCTTGTTCATTCTCTACGGATCTTCAGTGTATATAAATAGGAGTGGAGACAAATGTTTTTTTGCAACTTGACAAGCTGTTGGAGTGTGAGCAAGATAATATTTTGTGAAGGGATTCAGGACTCAAGTCTTGTTAGCCAGACTCGAGTCCTGGAAGTGGAAAGTACAATGCCTGCACTCTAAAGGAAGGGTTTGGAATATCTGCTGTGTAGAGGGACATCTAAACTGTTGTATCTACACACCTCTGGCAAGACAGTGATAGTGTAAATGATGGTGAAAGTTTTTTTTTTAGGTCACCTTACCTCTGTGGGAGATGGCCAATGTATTAAAAAATAAAATTTTTCAACTGCAGTCATGTATAATGAAAGAAAACCCCAAAGCTTTGCATTATAAGTGACCTGGAGCAATGCTTAGTCTCCCAGGCCCTAAGTTAGTGGTGAGGGCCAAGCTAAACATGTTAAAGCACCAGTCTAGGCTTGGAGTCTCACCTTTTTAAATAATGCCACCTTGGAATGGTTTAGTGAAGGAGTATAGCTTAAACAGGCTAACAACATATTTCCCAAGCCCTAAGCTATATCCGATATCTCTTATTTACTCATAACACAGAACTGCATTAATGTCCTAAGCTGGAGCCCTACTGTATATTGTCAGCCTCGTAATACACGGCTATGTTTCATTCATACATCAGAGTAAGCTGTACCGTGGCTTCTAGTAGGCACAGTCACAGATCCTCTCATCCTCTTCTTTACAAACTACACTTGACAACAATACATTCCATGGGAAGTGGAACAGAATTCTTCCTCCGTAAGCCATGCATGTTGTAAGAGGCTACTAAAATGCCAGGGGCAAGGGGCTAGTAACCCCTTCTCTTGTATAAACTACTAAATTTAAAAAGAGAAACTTTAGTTTTTCTTTTTGGGCCACCCTGCCTCGGTGGGATACAACCAGCTTGTTGAAAGAATAGAAAGATTTATATATAATTTATTATAATAAGAAAATTTATTATGAATAGAAATGTATTATGAAGAAAAAATTTAAGAGCTAGTCTTCACATCACTGAAGAAGTGAAGAATAAGAGGAAGACGAGATGCAAAATACTCCGGGGCACAGGAAAATCAACAAAGCTAGTCTCTTTACCAGAGAAAGTAAAACAAGAGGCCATGGGCACAAATTACACACCCAAATAAGCAACAGGATTATTAGTAAACAGTTATTTGATATAAGAGTTAAACTAGTGGAAGACATACAACAATGATGAAGAAGAAGCAAATTACATGTACTAATACAGAAGGAGATTTTACCACCATTTCATATCAGCTGGTATAAAGTTAAAGTGGAGGTACAGTATTCAAGTGATAAGCATATTAATGTGTGAACAGTACACTTAATATCAAAATGCATTACCTCATAGTCATCTTCTGAAGAACAGTCACCTTGGTTGTGGGCTGCACGCTCCAACACTGTTGCTGTGTAAAACTGGTATAGTGGTTCATCTGCAAAGTGGGAACTCACATACAATGGTTCATCCTGCATTAAAGCAGTGCAGCTGAAATCAAGGTAACTATTATTGTCCCCATCCATGACATTAGGGGACATGTGAAGAAGTGTGGGTGGAGATTTTTTAGAGGAAGATTTAATGACTGGCACAGAAGTAGATGGGGTACGTCTTGCTGGTAGTGGTGGTGGTGGTGCCGATGCTATGTCTCCAGGGCGAATGTAGCCTTCACTAGAGCTATGAGATGCTGCACTTGCAACAGACATACGAGCCTGAGGCATGTTAAACTTCAGAGAATTAGCTATGTCTACATTCATCGACTTTTCATCACCGCTTGAATCACCACCAGCATTGGTATGGACCCCAAAATTACTCATGTCAATAGTAGCATATTTGACACTATGTGGCCACAACCCTGTATGCCGAGTGTCTTCTGGGTGAATCAATACAGGAACAGGAGATGTATCACTGCTTGAACACTCTGAAGTACGAAGCACTCGGCGGCCAGGAGGTGCAACTGGTCCAGTAGACAACAGCTGATTGAGTCTTGATGCAACTTCAACCTTACTGAATTCGTCACCTTCACTTCTTCCAGATACAGCTTCACTGCTCTTTTCTGCAACACAAAAATTAAACAAATTTTGTAATACATAATGAACATATAATTTTTTATGGCTCAACATCTTAGTTAACCCTTTCAGGGTCGAGAGGCCCTCTCCAAAACTTGTTCTCAGGGTCGAAAATTTTTCAAGGAGAAAAAAAAAAAAATTCTTAAGAAATTATAGAGAATCTTTTCCTGATCATAATGACACCAAAAGTATGAAATTTGATGGAAAACTTACAGAATTATGCTCTTGCAAAGTTAGCGGTCTTGACGATGTTTACGCATCGGCGATTTCGCCCACTTTGAACCCTATTTTCGGCCAATTTCAGTGTACTAGTCGACAAAAATCATATCTGTTTTGCTAGAACTCCATTATCTCTATCGAATGAGTACAAGAAACCACCCATTTACCGATTTCAAGTATCCAATAAAGTGGTCAGAAATTGGCAATTTTGCCAATTTCACACACATTTCAGAAGATGCCAATTTCCAATTAGGGTCCAGAATAAGCAAGACAGACATTCCTGGTACTAAAATAACATTTTCTCTGTTCATTAGTCACGTCCTCAGGCCCCTCTTTCATCTCTTTTGCTTTCCACTTTGAATTTTTATTCTCACAAAAAAATAGAAGATTTACTGTTATGCGGACTACTGCATTAGTGTAAAAATAGTGTAGAAATGGTATAAATAACATCAGTGCACTTGTGAAAGAATATTAGACTCACCAGTTGACGTGTACTGGACGCTTGGCATGATTTGTTTACTTTTGAAATTTGGTAATAATCAAACATGTCTGCTACTTTGAGCTCAATTTCAAGGTACTTTTCATTACAAAACCAATCAAAATCATCTCAATTTCTGTAATATATCTTCCATTCTATAAAATGACACCAGGAAAACTAGAATACAACCATAAATACCATACGAAAATACACTGCAAAGTCGCTGTTTTACACCAAAAACACGATCGGAGTTTTTTATTTCTCATTATGCACTGTGTGCTGCAGGATTTTTTTATACTGTGCACACTGACCACAGACCCATTCTTTCATATGTAGGCCTACCAGCTTTATCTCACTAGATTTGAAGGAGCTAGAATTTAGGTGTTCTAGTACGTCAATAACCCTGGTGCATAAGTCATACTAGTACGTCGAAAACCCTGAAAGGGTTAAAGATCAGGATGTGGGATCAAATTCTGTTCTCTTCCTAAAATGTGTTTATTCACTCATGCTGAATTTCTCAGTATATAATCATACACGTTTTACAATACAAAATATAAAATTAAACCTTTTGGTGGTGGAGCAGGAGGTGCAGTACGTGGTCTAACTGGTCCATAGCTGGAAGATCCAGCACAACTCTTCCTGTTAGTAGTGGCAGAGGTAACTCGTCTCAGTGGAACAGCATTCTCAGAGGATCCCACAGTAGTAACTAAGGCTATAGATGGAGTATTGGACTTTCGATACTCATGGGCACTAGTAGTCGAGCGAACACTCTCACAGTCAGAGCGACCAGTTCGCTGAGAAGCATCTGACATTTCCCCAGCATCTTGATTTCCAGTTTCAATAGTTAGTGTCAAGTAAAATGTAGCAGATTCTTTCTTTGAAGGAGGACCACTACCACCACTACCACTACCACCACCACCACCACCACTGACAACTGTTGTAACAGAGCCTGATGACGATTTCCTTCGGAAATGACTCTTAAATGACCATTTTCTCTTATTTTCTGCACTAGATGGGCTGGCATCACTCGCAAGATCTGAAATACAGCACATAATATTCATAAAATCATTACAAATATTTTACCAAAATAAATCTTTAGCCAAGGTATACAGGTACGGGAACCTAAAATGAATTACAGTAATTAGTAAAGCCTCAATTTAACTTATGCATATTTATGAACCTCAGAATTATGGGACAACATCCAGAGAGTCAATTGATTTAGAAGCCACAGCCAAGGCCCACTCATTACAGAATTCTCTTATTGTTATAATCACGGCAAGGCAATTTCATCTCTATCCACCACAAACACCATTACCTTCCACCTGCTCCTTCTCAACTCCGATGTATTCCTCATAGATTTTTTAATAGAATTACTGCGTTATTTCACCTTTAACAGTAAACTTTTTAGACATGACTAATTTCTTTAATGCCAGAGGCAAGTTATAAAAATTCACACTACTGATTCACATTAGTGTGCCCGAGGTAAAAAAAATTATCAACACAGCCATACATTCCTTGAAAGTAATTTAATCTGACTAATACAAATACAAGAGAGGAGTGTAGAGGAGAGAGAGATTTTGGGAGATGTTAAGCGAGTGTGTAGGAACTTTCGAGCTAAGTGAAAGAGTAATTGTGGTAGGGGACCTAAATGCTAAGGTAGGAGAAGCCTTTAGAAAGGGTGTGGTAGGTACGTTTGGGGTGCCAGGTGTAAATGATAATGGGGAGCATTTGATTGAACTTTGCATAGAAAGGGGTTTGGTTATAGGTAACACTTTTTTTTTTTTTTTTTTTTTTTTTTTTCAACAAGTCGGTCGTCTCCCACCGAGGCAGGGTGACACATATTTTAAGAAAAAGAGGATAAATAAGTATACAAGATATGATGTAGGGTGAAATGACAGTAGTTTGTTGGACTACATATTGGTAGAGAAAAGACTGTTGGGTAGACCTCAGGATGTACATGTTTATAGAGGGGCCACAGATATAGCAGATCACATTTTAGTTGTAGCTACAGTGAGAGTAAAAGGTATATGGGATACAAGGAAAATGGAAGAAGCAAGTGAGAGAGAGGTGAAGGTTTAAAAACTAAAGGAGGAGGCAGTTAGGGTAAGATATAAACAACTGTTGGAGGACAGATGGGCTACTGAGAATACAGGCAATGGGGCAAGTTTAAGAATACGTAGAGTGTTAAGAGTGTTCAGCAGAAGTTTGTGGTTACAGGAAAGGGGGTGCGGGAGGGAAGAAGAGTGATTGGTGGAATGATGTAAAGAGAGTATTAAGAGAAAAAAGTTAGCATATGAGAGATTTTTACAAAGTAGAAGTAATGTAAGTAGGGACGAGTATATGGAGAGAAAGAAGTTAAAAGAGTGGTGAAGCAATGTAAAAAGAGAGCAAATAAAAGAGTGGGTGAGATGTTATCAACAAATTTTGTTGAAAGTAAGAAAGTTTTGGGGTTAGATTAACCCTTAAACTGTCCACACAGATATACGTTGATGTGTGGCAGGCTCCGAACGTAGATCTATGTTTTTTTTACATGGGGAAAAAATCAAGGTCGGAGCGCTATGCACGTGAACGTAGATCTACCTTTGGACAGTTTAAGAGTTAATAAGTTGAGAAATCCTAGGGAAAGAATGGATTTGTTAGTTAAAAATAGGAGAGGAGAGTTATTAAATGGAGAGTTAGAGGTATTGGAAAGATGGAGGGAATATTTTGAGGAATTGTTAAATGTTGATGAAGATAGGGAAACTGATTTCATTGTAGGGCAAGGAGGAATAACATCTTATAGGAGCGAGGAAGAACCAGTTGTGATTCTGGGGAAAGTGTGTGGAGCAGCGAGCAGAATGAAAGGGGGTAAAGCAGCTGGGATTGATGGGATAAAGATAGAAATGTTAAAATCAGGTGGGGATATAAGAACATAAGAAAGAAGGAACACTGAAACAGGCCTACTGACCCATGCAAAGCAGGTCCATGTCCCCCCAATTAGCCCAATGACCCACCTAGAGGTGGGTCATTGGGCTAATTGGGTCACTTCCACTTAAGGAAGGAGCAAGGCATCAAACCTAGTAGCACAAGCTAGTCAGGTCGAACTCTCACCCACCCACACCCACTCATGCATTTATCTAACCTATTTTTTAAAACTACACAATGTTTCAGCCTCTATAACTGTACTCAGGAGTTTGTTCCACTCATCCACAACTAGTGCTTTCCTATATCCTTCCTGAATCTGAATTTTTCCAACTTGAAACCATTGTTGAGAGTCCTGTCTTGGCTGGAAATTTTCAGCACGTTATTTACAGCCCCTTTATTTATTCCTGTTTTCCATTTATACACCTCGGCCATATCCCCCCTAATTCTACACCTTTCGAGAGACTGCAGATTCAGGGCCCTCAGTCTATCCTCATAGGGAAGATTTCTGATACATGGGATCAACTTTGTCATCATCCTCTGTACGTATTCCAGTGCATTTATATCCATTCTGTAATACGGTGACCAGAACTGTGCAGCATAATCTAAATGAGGCCTAACCAAGGATATGTTGAAGAACAACCTGAGGACTTCTATTATTTATACTTCTAGATATGAAGCCAAGGATTCTATTAGCTTTACTGCAAACACTAATGCACTGTTGTCTTGGATTTAGAGTATTGATAACCAGAACTCCTAAATCCTTTTTGCAATCAGTAGTATTAAGATCTATATTATTTAGTTTATATGTGGCATGGTTATTTTCCTGTCCAATATTTAGAACTTTGCATTTGTCTATATTAAACTGCATCTGCCACTTCTCTGACCATTGCATCAGTCTATTCAAATCATCCTGGAGAGCTCTAGTGTCCTCATTAGAATGAATTGGCCGACCTATTTTGGTGCCATCAGCAAATTTGCTTATGTCGCTATTTATTCCCTCATCTACGTCATTGATGTAAACTGTGAACAACAACTGGGCCCAACGCTGACCCCTGCAGAACACAGCTTGTGACGTGCCCCAATTCTGATTTCTTCCCATTTATGCAAACTCTCTGCTGCCTATTTGTCAGCCATGCCTCTACCCAGGAAAAAATTTCTCCTCCTATTCCATATGCCTTAAGTTTCCTCAATAGCCCCTGATGTGGAACTCAATCAAAAGCCTTACTGAAGTCCATATACACAATATCATATTTAATACCATGATCTACCTCCTCAAACACCTTAGTGAAAAAAGTTAGTAAATTCGTAAGACAGGAACGCCCCTTTGTAAAACCATGCTGAGATTCATTAATCAACTTGTGCCTATCAAGATGGCTACAAATTGCTTCGGCAATTATTGATTCCATAAATTTTCCCACTATGGAGGTAAGGCTTACTGGTCTATAGTTCTAAGCTAAGGACCTGTCACCTGCCTTGTAAATAGGTATTACATTTGCCATTTTCCACTTATCAGGCACTATGCCAGTTTGTAGTGATATGTTGAAAAGATTAGCCAAAGGTATGGTAAGTTCCTCTTTACATTCCTTTAACACCCTTGCAAACAGTTCATCAGGACCTGGGGATTTGTTAGGTTTTAATTTCTCTATTTGTCTGAGGACCATGTCACTAGTTACAGCAATCGTACATAGTTTATTATCGTCCTGTTCTACATAATCTATTATTTCAGGAATTTCACTAGTATTTTCCTGGGTAAAAGCTGAGAGAAAGCAAGTATTGAAAATTTCACACATCCTTATCACTGTCAGTGATTTGACCTGAGTTACTCTTAAGTGGGCCTATCTTGTCCCTAATCTTACTTCTGTATACCTGAAAGAACCCTTTTGGGTTAGTCTTTGAATCCCTTGTGACCTTAGCCTCATAATCCCTTTTTGCTTTACTTATTCATTTTTTTATTCCTCTCTTTAACTGAATATGTATATTGATTTCTAAACTGCCCATCCCCTCTTCTGATATGCCTATATGTGCCTCTCTCTTGACCAATGAGATGTTTTAATCTATTGTTCATCCATTTGGAATCATTTTTGTTAGATCTAATTTCCCTACTCGGAACCAAAGTTGTCTGGGCAGCTAGAACTATGCTCTGAAAAAACGTCATACTGGCACCCAAGATCACCTCCCTGACCCATAGTCAGGTCATCCCAATTTAGCCCACCCAGGTAGTTTTGGAGTGGTTAGTGTTTTTATTTAATAAATATATGGAACCTAGTAGTAGGTTGGTAGACAGCAACTGCCCAGGGAGGTACTACTATCCTGCATAGCGAGTGTAAAATGGAAGCCTGTACTTGTTTTACATAAGATTGCTGGTGTCTTCTGTCTCATAAACATGCAAGATTTCAGGTACGTCTTGCTACTTCTACTTACACTTAGGTCACACTACACATACATGTACAAGCATATATATATACACACACACACCCCTCAGGGTTTTCTTCTATTTTCTTACTAGTTCTTGTTTTTGTTTATATCCTCTTATCTCCATGGAGAAGTGGAACAGAATTCTTCCGTAAGGCATGAGTGATGTAAGAGGCAACTAAAATGCTGGGAGCAAGGGGCTAGTAACCTTCTCCTGTATAAATCACTAAATTTAAAAAGATAAACTTTCATTTTTCTTTTTGGGCCACCCTGCCTTGGTGGGATACGGCCGGTTTGTTGAAAGAAAGAAGTCTGTTGAGTATACCTGGTAAAGTGTATGGTAGTTATTATTGACAAAATTATCAGTAAGATGGAGAGCAGGATAGCAGATGAACAAGGAGGCTTTAGGAAAGGTAGGGGGTGTGTAGACCAATTGTTTGCAGTGAAACATATAGGTGAACAGTATTTAGATAAGTGTAAAGAGGTTTTTCTGGCATTTATGGATTTGGAAAAGGCATATGACAGGGTGGATAGGGGTGGTTGTTTAATATATATATTTATAGATGGAGTAGCAAGAGAGGTGAATGCTCACGTGTTGGCAAGAGGTGTGGGGTTAAAAGATAATCTTACACAAAGTGGGAGTTGTCACAGTTGCTCTTTGCTGATGACACTGTGCTTTTGGGAGATTCTGAAGAGAAGTTGCAGAGGTTAGTTGATGAGTTTGGTAGGGTATGTAAAAGAAGAAAAAGTGAATATAGGAAAGAGTAAGGTGATGAGGATATCAAAAAAAATTAGGTAACAGAAGATTGGATATCAGATTGGAGGGAGAGAGTATGGAGGAGGTGAATGTGTCCAGATATCTGGGAGTGGATGTGTCAGCAGATGGGTCTGTGAAGGACAAGATGAATCATAGAATTGACGAGGAAAAATAGGCGAGTGGTGCACTGAGGAGTCTGTGGAGACAAAGAACTTTATCCATGAAAGCAAAGAGGGGAATGTATAAGAGTACAGTTATACCAATGCTCTTGTATGAGTGTGAGGCATGGGTTGTGAATGTTGCAACAAGGGAAAGGCTGGAGGCAATAGAGATGTCATGTCTGAGGGCAATGTGTGGTGTGAATATAATGCAGAGAATCCATAGTTTGGAGATTAGGAGGTGGTGTGGGATTACCCAATCTATTATCCAGAGGGCTGAGGAGGGGTTATTGAGATGGTTTGGACATGTAGAGAGGATGGAACGAAATAGAATGACTTCAAGAGTATACAAACTTGTAGTGGAGGGAAGGCAAGGTAGGGGGTCGGCCTAAGAAAGATTGGAGGGAGGGGGTTAAAGGAGGTTTTGTGTGCGAGGGGCTTGGACTTCCAGCAAGTGTGCGCGAGTGTGTTAGACAGGAGCGAATGGAGACAAATAGTTTTTAGGACTTGACGTGCTGTTGGAGTGTGAGCAAAGTAACATTTATGAAGGGATTCAGTGAAACCGGCAGGGTGGACTCGAATCCTGGAGATGGGAAGTACAGTGTCCGCACTCTGAAGGAGGGGTGTTAATGTTGCAGTTTTATAACTGTAGTGTAGGCATCCCTCTGGCAAGACAGTGATGGAGTGAATGATTTAAGTTTTTCTTTTTCACGCCACCCTGCCTTGGTGGGAAACAGCCGACGTGTTAATAAATAAAAATAATACAAATACATGTACCTATTTGCTCTGTGCAAAGGGGAGGAGGAGGAGGAGAAGAACAAGAAAAGAAAGAGAGAAAGAGAGAAAGAGAGAAAAGAGAGAGAGAAAGAAGAGAGAGAGAGAGAGAGAGGAAAAGAGAGAGAGAGAAAGAGAGAGAAAAGAGAAGAGAGAGAAGAGAGAGAGAAAGAGAGAGAAGAGAGAGAAAGAGAGAGAAGAAAGAGAGAAGAGAGAAGAGAGAGAGAGAGAGAAAGAGAGAGAAAGAGAGAAGAGAGGAGAAAGAGAGAGAAGAGAGGAAAGAGAGAAAGAGAGAAGAGAGAAAGAGAGGAGAGGAGAAGAGAGAGGAGAAAGAGAGAAGAGAGAGAAAGAAGGAGAGAAAGAGAGAGAAGAGAGAGAGAGAAGAAGAGAGAGAAAAGAGAGAGAGAAAGAAAGAGAGAGAAAGAGAAAGAGAAGAAGAGAGAGAGAGAGAGAAGAGAGAAGAGAGAGAAAGAGAAAGAGAGAAAGAGAGAGAAAGAGAGAGAAAGAGAAGAGAGAAAGAGAGAGAAAGAGAGAGAAAAAAGAGAGAAGAGAAGAAGAGAGAGAAAGAAGAGAGAAAGAGGAAGAGAGAGAGAAGAGAGAAAGAAGAGAGAAAGAGAAGAGAGGAGAAAAGAGAGAGAAAGAGAAGAGAGAGAAAGAGAGAGAGAGAAAGAGAGAGGAAAGAAAGAAAAGAGAAAGAGGAGAAAGAGAGAGAAAGAGAGAGAGAAAGAGAGAGAAAGAGAGAGAAAGAGAGGAGAAAGAGAGAAGAGAGAGAGAAGAAAGAGAGAGAGAAGAGGAGAAAGAGAGAGAAAGAGAGAGAAGAGAGAGAAAGAGAGAGAAAGAGGAGAAAGAGAAAAGAGAGAGAAGAGAGAGAAAGAGAGAGAAAGAGAGAGGAAAGAGAGAGAAGAGAGAGAAGGAAAGAGAGAGAAAGAGAGAGAAGGAGAGAAAGAGAGAGAAAGAGAGAGAAAGAGAGGAAAGAGAGAGAAAGAGAGAAAAAGAGAGAAAGAGGAGAAAGAGAGAGAAAGAGAGAGAAGAAAGAAAAGAGAGAAAGAGAGAGAAAGAGAGAGAGAAGAGAGAGAGAAAGAGAAAGAGAGAGAAGAGAGAAAGAGAAAGAGAGAAGAGAGAGAGAGAGAGGAGGAAGAGAGAGAAGAAAGAAAAGAGAGAGAGAGAGGAAAGAGAGGAAGAGAAGAGAGAGAAAGAGAGAGAAAGAGAGAGAGAGAAAGAGAGAGAAGAGGAAAGAGAGAGAAGAGAAGAAAGAGAGAGAGGAGAGAGAGAGAAAGAGAAAGAGAAGAGAAAGAGAGAGAAAGAGAGAAAGAGAGAAAGAGAGAAAGAGAGAAAGAGAGAAAGAGAGAGAGAGAGAGAGAGAGAAAAGGAGAGAGAGGGAGAGAGAGAGAGAGTGGGGGTTTACTTATTCTTACTTTCTGTACTCTTCATGTCAGACACATTAAAGGTACTCTTCTTCTTGATGCGACTCAGTCCTGTTTTCACTTCATTTTTAGTCAAGGACCAGTTGCGTCTCAGCCTCCTCATGCCCAGGTTAGCTGCTTCTGCAATCTTTGTTATACCATGTTGTTGCTGTTGTTGTTGTTGCTGCTGTTGCTGCAAAGAAGACAGTTCTTGTTGCTTGTCACAGCCAGACACCTCGGAGCTCAGGGACTCAGTGTGATCTCTTGAAATTTGTGAACTGTCATCTGGAAACTGAAGTGTAATATTCTAAAATAAACAGTAAGACTATGCCATAAAAAGGTTTAAGGTTCACTGTTCAAGAGTTCAGTGCAAAGTAAGTGAACACAATATTTATGTCACCTTTAAATACCCAGTTACCAGTTACGGATAAATAAGTGGCAACTAACAAAGACAGAGCAAGTATTAAAAAAAAAAAAGTTTACTGGGAAGACCCTTGCTTAGGAAGTCACTCAAGTGGCTAAACTTCCTGCAGAGGTATACAATTATAAGCTTCAGCTAAATATCAGAGGTGTCCCGTAGCTCAATCGCTAGCGCACTCGGCTCACACACTGAGGTCCATAGATCGAATCCCCGGTACGGCTGGAAAACATTAGAACGTGTTTCCTTAAGACACCTGCTGTCCATGTTCACCCGTCAGTATAAAATGATACCTAGATGTTAAGTCAACTGGTGTGGGTCGCATCCTGAGACAAAACTGACCTAATTTGCCCGAAATGCTCAGCATAACATGTGGCTTTCTTTATAACAGTATGTCACTGATGTCAGCTAGGACTGTATACCTTGTAAATGTACTTATAGTAAATAAAAATGTAAAATAACTATTCAAAACAACTTATAAAAAAATTAATCTGGGAATTACAAAACATGAGTGGAAGAAAAGGCAAACTACTTGTATATTTAGATTGTTTGTGCGAGGAAAATGCATAAAAAAAATAACCCAATTTTTTAGAGGGGTGCGACGGTAAGAGAGCAAAAATCCTCTGTCAGATAACCAAAACCTCCAGCTGCAGGTCATTATATGACAGACCCGAGTCAGGAAACGCTTATCCTGTTTCCTGACAAAATTTACTTAACCTAAAGATAAATGCATATAGTGACATTAGGAAAAATGTCCTTATGGAACAGTATCAACGTGGGATATCTGAAGGGTCAACCCTCACCCTGATAATGTTTTTAACTAATTTACCTAGAGGAAGAGACAAGTATATGTTTATGGAAAATTTTCTAGGGTGTTACCTGTATGTACCTCAACATTACATGCATACGAGTAATCTCATTGGGAGACAACAACTATATTGTTTATCGTAGTCACCCCGTGTAGACATGTGAGAAAACTTAACCACCCCTGGTCACTGCAGGTGGTCCCTTCGACCTCACAATCTTATCCATATCTATCCGAGACCAGTATAAATTGGATAGCACCCACAAGTACGGCGCTACTAATTAATTGTGGACTGTATAGATTATATTAGTTTAATTGAATGAAGGGGGTAGGTTACACATGGATATATCCATCAAGGAAAAACACTTGTATATAATCCCACCACTTACCAGATATTCTCTGGTCACTTGATGCAGGTGGATCACCCATAACCTATCCATTTCGGGCAAATTAAGTAAATTTTGTCCCAGGATGCGACCCACACCAGTCAACTAACACCCAGGTACCCATTTTATACTGATGGGTGAACACGGACAGCAAGTGTCTTATGGAAAGACGTCCTAACATTGTCCAGCCGTACTGGGATTTGAACTCCAGACCTCAGTGTGTGAGCTGAGTGCACTAGAGAATTACTGACAATGGAAACAAATGCAACTAATGTGACTCTTTTCTTGACAACTTTTAGCTCTCTGGGATCTTTTAACTACCTGACAAAGCTCCTGCAGAGCGAAACGTTGCAACAATAAAATATCACATTAGTTGCATCTGTCTCCTTTTACATAACAAAAGCTTTCCAAATGAGCTCTACTAAAAACAGTGATACAGTCACACTTTACCTGTGGCCTAAGACGACAATAGGCGTCGTCAGAATCATCAGAATCAAAGGAATCATCGAAGTCATTATCATCAGGTCGATGGAAACGTTCATCCTGGGCTGGAGTGATGACCTCATAGATAGCCTCGTAGTGACCTGTTGTAGGGTCTTCTTCCTCCGACTCTCCTCCTGTGTACGTCAGGTCAACACCGTACGTGTTAATGCCAGGTATGGATAATATTCTCCCCTCTAATACTACAACATTCTGCATCTTACCAGGATATCAGATACATCCGCAGTGTTAGGCTACCTTTTTTTATGCAATTTTAAGATGTTATACAGAAAAGGGTGGCGGCACAGTGCGGCTGTATCTAATATGATTATAATAAAAATTTCGTGCAGTTATTTTCATCTATGTATACGTTTTTAGTACATTTATTGATTAATTAAATTTCGATACAAAGCTGGCGTCTGAGTTCGTGACTGTTGAGACTAAGTGGGATACGGCCGGTTCCTGGAAAATACTATACATACATACAGTTATAATATATATATATATATATATATATATATATATATATATATATATATATATATATATATATATATATATATATATATATATATATGTATGTGTGTGTGTGTGTGTGTGTGTGTGTGTGTGTGTGTGTGTGTGTGTGGTGTGTGTGTGTGTGGTGTGTATATGTATGTGTGTGTACTCACCTATTTGTGGTTGCAGGGGTCGAGTCACAGCTCCTGGCCCCGCCTCTTCGCTGATTGCTACTAGGTCCTCTCAGTGTATGTGTATGTGTGTGCGTGTGTGTATGTGTATATGTGTGTGTGTGTGTGTGTGTGTGTGTGTGTGTGTGTGTGTGTGTGTGTGTGTGTGTGTGTGTGTGTGTGTGTGTGTGTGTGTATACGTATTCGCCTAGTTGAGGTTGCAGGGGTCGAGTCCTAGCTCCTGTGTGAGTTAGTTTCTTTACCTTATGTATGTGTAATGTTAGTCATCATTATACATGTATGGCGTTAACTATTTTGTCTTATATGTGTGTAATAATACAGTAGTTTGATTCTCATCATTATTTGTGGACTGCCATTTTTGTAAACATGTGTGCTTTTGTAAGTTTCAATACATACATTTTAATATTTATTTGTTTGTCTTTGCAAATAGTACATTGAGATTATGTATTTAAAATAATGGGTTGCAATGCAAAGAGCCTTTATTATGCCTAGGCATTATGGGCCGGAATGCAACTGATAAAATCGTCAACCCGGGATTGTTACATCTTCCTCAACGCTTGATGACGGTAGCTGCCTGTCACTTGCCACCTCAACCCCACACTCGTAGATTTTTATTTCGTACTATGCACTATACCAGCAAGAACCATGAACAGTAACAGATCCAAGACCAGCTACATTTAGAGGATGGAGGAAAGAGCCTCCACCTGTGTAAGATGTGGTATAAATACTGACAAATGTAAAATAAGAGATGCTCAATATTATTAAGGAAGTTGTACTTGTGTCTTATTTTACAGAGCCTCCACCACTCCTTGTGCTGCATGACAGTCGGGTCTGCTGCGCTCTGCAGTATTCCAACATGTCAAGACACCCATATCACCCACCAAATTTTTAGAAAATAGTCTCGAATAGATAGGTGCCTCATGTCAAATAAAGCAGGGCCAATATGGCCCTTAACGTGTCGAAATATACAAATCCAAAAAGAAACCAATCAAGACGACAATCCGACCAGAAATCCATAGAGAAACCAGACCAAACACTGCAGATTTAGCTACTTCATCAGCCCACTTATCATGAGAAACAAACACCCAACATAAATTCAGCTGGCAGGTTAACTGTAGTGGCCTCTCTACAATCTCCAGCTCTTAAGAAAGCAGTAAATACTTGCAGAGCTGTAGTCACAATATCAAGCACAGTTAATAACCTATGGTGTGAGCAAGATGGTAGACAACTCGGCTGTAAAAAACAAACACCAGGTAAAATTTTCAGACAACGACAAAAATTCGTTAAGACGGCACCAACCCGACACCTGCTGTAGATCTGGAGTTGTTGGTAAAAAAAAAAGTAAGAGGCCTTTCGGAGAGAGGGTAAAATTTAATTGCCCAGATAACTTAAGCTGAGAAAAGTCCGAGGAAGATCATAAAAATATGATACGATTAATTTGCAGCACTTTCACTAATGGAAGATACAGGAAAACTGCGAACGGTACCGGCACTGAACCAACACCCGAGCAATATATTCCACAGGCCTCGTTAACATGTGGCAAGGTAAATCATCATCAACTAAGAGATCTAGACCAAGACCCTCACTAGGTTAAAGGACGATATAAGCGACCTAAAACAGGGGAAGCAATGTTCCCTCTGGTATATTATAAATGATATATAATACTCATAAGTTTATGAGTAAGACACTTAATATTTTTAATGCTAAGTGCGGAGAAGGAGCTCCTTCTCCGCACTTATGCCGTATTCTATTCAAGATTGATGGACTGACCACATCGACTAAAGGCTGAGGGACTGATTACCTCATTCTCCTCCTGTTCTTCGAGATTCTCCTTTGTATGGACTGATGAAGCCACTGTGTGGCGAAACGTTTCCTCAAAGATATCCAAGAATTGCACATGTGTCTAATTTATCAACTTGTCGGTTCTCTGAACCATTGATCTACAAGTAACCAACACAACATTCACCAGTAACCAACACAACATTCACCAGTAACACAACATTCACCAGTAACACAACATTCACCAGTAACACAACATTCACCAGTAACACAACACAACATTCACCAGTAACCAACACAACATTCACCAGTAACCAACACAACATTCACCAGTAACCAACACAACATTCACCAGTAACAACACAACATTCACCAGTAACCACACAACATTCACCAGTAACCAACACAACATTCACCAGTAACCAACACAACATTCACCAGTAACCACACAACATTCACCAGTAACCAACACAACATTCACCAGTAACCAACACAACATTCACCAGTAACCAACACAACATTCACCAGTAACCAACACAACATTCACCAGTAACCAACACAACATTCACCAGTAACCAACACAACATTCACCAGTAACCAACACAACATTCACCAGTAACCAACACAACATTCACCAGTAACCAACACAACATTCACCAGTAACCAACACAACATTCACCAGTAACCAACACAACATTCACCAGTAACCAACACAACATTCACCAGTAACCAACACAACATTCACCAGTAACCAACACAACATTCACCAGTAACCAACACAACATTCACCAGTAACCAACACAACATTCACCAGTAACCAACACAACATTCACCAGTAACCAACACAACATTCACCAGTAACCAACACAACATTCACCAGTAACCAACACAACATTCACCAGTAACCAACACAACATTCACCAGTAACCAACACAACATTCACCAGTAACCAACACAACATTCACCAGTAACCAACAATATTCACCAGTAACCAACAAATTCACCAGTAACCAAACACAACATTCACCAGTAACCAACACAACATTCACCAGTAACCAGCACAACATTCACCAGTAACCAACACAACATTCACCAGTAACCAACAACATTCATCAGTAACCAACACAACATTCACCAGTAACCAGCACAACATTCACCAGTAACCACACAACATTCACCAGTAACCAACAACATTCACCAGTAACCAACACAACATTCACCAGTAACCAACACAACATTCACAGTAACCAACACAACATTCACCAGTAACCAACACAACATTCACCAGTAACCAACACAACATTCACCAGTAACCAACACAACATTCACCAGTAACCAACACAACATTCACCAGTAACCAACACAACATTCACCAGTAACCAACACAACATTCACCAGTAACCAACACAACATTCACCAGTAACCAACACAACATTCACCAGTAACCAAACAACATTCACCAGTAACCAACAACATTCACCAGTAACCAACAACATTCACAACACCTTAACCAGACACAACATTCACCAGTAACCAACAACATTCACCAGTAACCAACAACATTCACCAGTAACCAACAAACATTCACCAGTAACCAACAAAACATTCACCAGTAACCAACACAACATTCACCAGTAACCACACAACATTCACCAGTAACCAACACAACATTCACCAGTAACCAACACAACATTCACCAGTAACCAACACAACATTCACCAGTAACCAACACAACATTCACCAGTAACCAACACAACATTCACCAGTAACCAACACAACATTCACCAGTAACCAACACAACATTCACCAGTAACCAACACAACATTCACCAGTAACCAACACAACATTCACCAGTAACCAACACAACATTCACCAGTAACCAACACAACATTCACCAGTAACCAACAATGTCTTCGAATAATGTCAATGGTCTAGAAACTTAAGGTGAAGTGTATGAGACACTTGTATAACATTTAGGAGTCTTTATTAAGGAAACATTCCACCAACCAGTGGCTTCTTCAGTCCATTACAGACAAGAACGGTAGTTTACGAGGAGTTTGAGGTAATCAACCAAGAGTCGATGTTTTTAGTCCATCAATCTTAAGAAAAGTACAGTATATACTCTGAGAAGTATACATTCCTCTTCTGCACGCTGTACCTTTTTGAAGGACTAAAGACATCGACTCTTGGTTGATTACCTCAAACTCCTCGTTTTCTACCGTTCTTGTCTGTAATGGACTGAAGAAGCCACTGGTTGGCGGAACGTTTCCTTAATAAAGACTCCTAAATGTTACACAAGTGTGTGGGTCTTCAGTGTGCTGAAGCAGCTCGTCACACAGATGAGAGGTAGCTGCAATATAATGCTTACCAGGTGTTGTGAGAGGTTGTATGTAATATCCAGTTTCTTGGTAGTCAGGGGGGGGGGACAAACTCCAACTGGGCTTTATTATTGAAAAAAAAAAGCTCCCACTTGGTAAAGACCGTTGCGACAATGTCAGCAAAGATCATTTGTTCAGGGAAATTTTAGCACTACTTCAAGGCTTGGCCTCACAGTTTTCTACCAATTTGTTTTTGTGTTAAAACTGAGCCATGTAGCTGACAGGACAGTGTGTCAGCCACGTTTATTGTATTAAACGATAAACCTGTATAGTGATTCAATATTAATCAGCCAGCCAGTGGCGAGCCATCAAATAATGAACAGCAGTTTTCTGATGTTGAAGTGACTGGCACTCGGCACTGCTCTGGCACTCAGCACTGCTCTGGCACTCAGCACTGCTCTGGCACTCAGCACTGCTCTGGCACTCAGCACTACTCTGGCACTCAGCACTACTCTGGCACTCAGCACTACTCTGGCACTCAGCACTACTCTGGCACTCAGCACTACTCTGGCACTCAGTATGCAGTCCTCAGTGGCCTGTAACGTGCAGCGGTATCATTCTTACTGAAGATGGCATTCAACACTACAAACATTTTCCAGTCCAGGAAAGCAACGGTTACAATATTTATGTAACGGATGATAAAGTGCATCACTTACGGCATTACTTCTGCTAACAAAATATTAGTTTGGTTTTTAAATGGTCTTCTCTAAAGTGTGAGTGTCGTAAAGTGGTAAGTCAAGTGTGGTTCTCACCTGTCTTGGCTTACCTACTTGACTTCTTTGTATGCATGCATGCGTGTCTCTGTATATTATAATAATAATAATAATAGTAGTAGTATGTATATAATATATATATATATTATATATATATATATATATATATATATATATATATATATATATATATATATATATATATATATGTCGTGCCGAATAAGTAAACCTGGTCACTTTGCAAGAACTAACTTAATTTTAAGTCCTTTCTAAAATTCTGACTCTTATACATTTAAAGATGTATTGTCTAAATTTACATTCATATAAAAATTAATGATTTTGTACGATAAGAATCTTAGAAAACTTAGCTAACCTTATTATAAGAAGCGCAATTTAATACAGCCTAATCCAACTAAACATATTTTATATAGGTTTACAATAATTTAATAAACAAACACAATGAAATATATTTTTTTCCGTTAGATTCAGAACGATTTTTGCGAAATTATTGCATACACAAATTTTTGCTTGCTTTATTCGGCAAGAAGTGCGTTACTATTTAAAAGCCAAAAATCGCAAGTTTTACTTATTCGACAAGACATTATATATATATATATATATATATATATATATATATATATATATATATATATATATATATATATATATATATTATATATATATATATATATATATTACATACACGGAATAAGATCACAATAAACAGATACCCCAATATAAAAAACGGTTGTTATTTTACATATATTAATATTAGTTATTTTTATTATATACATAAGAACATGTACAGTATGCAATTATCACAACCGAGCGATAACAGATTCAAAACAACCACGGGATGGGGGAGTTGAATGGCAGCTCTAGGTCTTTCATGTTGCAATCAACACTGTTTAAAAGCTTGCAATAGTGGAACAAAAGTGGACATTATCCCAGGTAAGTGTGTGTGTGTATGAATAATCCTATACAGGAAGAGCCACTCAGATCCACCCAGGGACCCGACTAACCCAGGCCCCTGGACGGACCCGACTAACCCAGGCCCCTGGACGGACCCGACTAACCCAGGCCCCTGGACGGACCCGACTAACCCAGGCCCCTGGACGGACCCGACTAACCAGGGCCCCTGGACGGACCCGACTAACCCAGGCCCCTGGACGGACCCGACTAACCCAGGCCCCTGGACGGACCCGACTAACTCAGGCCCCTGGACGGACCCGACTAACCCAGGCCCCTGGACGGACCCGACTAACTCGGGCCCCTGGACGGACCCGACTAACCCAGGCCCCCGACTAACCCAGGCCCCTGGGTGGCTCTTCCTGTGTAGGATGTTTTCAAAGGCACACCTACCTGGGCACATCTTTTCTATTCCACTACTGCAAGCTCTTGACAATGTGTTGGTAGCAACACAAGAGACGAACAGCTCTCATTCAACTCCCCCACCCTGTAGTGTTTTACATATACAGTATATGGGGAGGTGGTAAGGGAAGAAAATAGACAAAACATCTTCAGGAAGACATCTGTAGATAAATATACATTATATGTGTATATATGCATATATAATGTGTGTAAAACATATACAGAAACCTGTTATCACATGGTTGCTTTCTAAATTAAAAAAAAAAGGACTTCAATGTAAACTGGATTTTTATACATTACGGGATACAAAAACTACATCAGTAAAATACTTAAAAAAATATACACACATGCAACTACTAGTGCCATGCACAATACAACAAACAGCACTTACAATCACCTCTCCCGTGACAACTTGTGGGTTATATTAAAGAGCAATGGTGGCACGAACCTTACCTTGGTTGAACAGATGTGTGGGACCTCCACTGAGGCTTGACTCACCTGAGAGGGGCAGACAACCGGTACACATAGGTCATGTGCACGTTATGTCACAGACACACACAGCGTGAAGACCGTGTACGTTATGTCTCACATACACAGCGTGAAGACCGCTCCTACTGTCATCATCAAGTCCACACTATTCATTAACGAGTCTATCAAGTAGTATAAAAGCGTGACGACGTCAAAGTTTGGTCTGGCGTCACAATACGTCATAATACGTCATACGACGTCAGCGATACATTGGTATATGCGGGCGAGAACCTTGAGCTTTCCCAGCAGAAACAGCAGCATCAGCAGGTGAAACAGTAGAAACAGCAGTAGCAGCAATACTTCCGCTTGTTATTGCTGCTTCTGCTGCTCTATGCCAGTACAAACTATGTCATGTTACAGTCGATGGCCTGCCGCAAGTCTCAGATGTTCACGTGCAGTAGTTATCGTAGATCTAAACATTGTAACAAGTCCTAAGTGCTTCCAAGTCTACTTGCACATTGTCAAGTTTGTGCCTAAAGGGTGACTATTGTTAACAAGACGCACTGAAAAGAATATCTACTAACAACTACAGTGCTCAATGTGCTATAATTACTAGTACAGGTACACTAAATCTTATTACCCCGCCATAACAAATTTAGCAAACTGCCAGCATGTTTACAAACCTTCAACATAAAGACTCATTTCCTGGGACTCATTGTCATCGGCATCGTAGAAGATGCTTCTGATCTTGGCGCTCTCGTAGTAGAGGCTGCTAGAGGTGCTGGCGCCGGAGAGGAGGGAAGCATTGTAGTAACCAGGAGCGTAGGCTGTGTCGTACTCGTTGTGGTTACTCTCACACTGACCCAACACGATGGTTGATGACGAACTCACGTATACTGTAGTAGTAGGTGACAATGTTAAAGGAAACACCAGTGCACATTCCTCGTTACTATCACCACACCTCAACCACCACCACTAAATCTTCATCGTTATGAATGACTAATTAAGGCACCTTTCACTGACGTGACTCATGAGTGAACACTGAAGGCAGACTTCAATGTCTACACCTAACTCTAAGGTGTTGACTCATGGAACCTACTCGTCGCTATCCCACTTTCCTAGTGCAGGCACTTCCAAACTCAGTTCCAGCACAACACACCAGATTCTTCCTGGATACCTTCATTGAAAACACTGTGCTCATACTAGCAGCAAGATGACTCCCGAAGCTCACTCAACTTCACTGAAACACTCACCCTAGCCTGCTAGATCTCTTTCCATCCACCCTAGAATATTTATCTTGCACTCTCATTCTCCATTACACAATTTCAACTAGCCCCCTTCAGCTCTTCTTTTTTTTTTTTAACTAAAATCTTTCGCACCACATCCTCTAACTTCTTACTTTCTAATTCCCTGCATAATACCCCTTAGCACAAAGAACTCTCTGATATGACGCTTGCACTGCCTCCAGCCTCCGGACTGGAGGCACCACTATCATCTTGATGCATTTCCATTTTTGCATCCTTATTCCACATATTCCTCAACTGTTGCCAACTTTATTATTATTATATTATTATTATCATCATCATCATCATACCCTGAGCATATCAATACAACAAATTCCTTTTCTTGCTTCAAGTCCACTCTCTCAGTACACTAACACTAACAAGTCTCAACAAACTTATTTCAATGTAATTCTTACGTCCTATCGTATCGTCTTTCTTTTCACACAAGGGAAGCACACAGCTCTTGGTCAATCCTCGGGTGCCGTCCATTGCAGAATTTCAATCCTAATCCCTTCCATCCCGGCGGCGACTGCTGCTCAATTTCACGGTACTTAATGTGTGAATGACTTCCTTCATTCTTACTTCAGGCTCTTCATTCATGCAAACAGATCTTGTTCCTTCTAGACCCAGACATGAAAGCTCTACTTATATTAATTCTCTACAACATTCATTTATCAGAAATTAATGTAACATTTATACTTCTATTCAGCATTTTACTATCAATCTTAAATTTGCTTCGAAATTATCAACCCCAAAACTCCCTTTTCAAAAAAACTAAACTGCTGACGATACCTCGGCATTTTTTATTTTTAAATCCTTGGTACTAATTCACCACTATCTGACCCTCTCTTTCATATGCCAACTTTTCTCTCTCACTGCCATTTCCACATCAGTCCACCAATCATGCATCTTTCCTGGTGCACCTACTCCACAGAAATCGTATATCTTCCCTGGTGCACCTAATCCACAAGAATCATGCATCTTTCCTGGTGCACCTACTCCACAGCAATCGTATATCTTCCCTGGTGCACCTAATCCACAAGAATCATGCATCTTCCCTGGTGCACCTACTCCACAACAATCATATATCTTCCCTGGTGCACCTAATCCACAACAATCATGCATCTTCCCTGGTGCACCTAATCCACAACAATCATATATCTTCCCTGGTGCACCTAATCCACAACAATCATATCTTCCCTGGTGCACCTAATCCACAACAATCATATCTTCCCTGGTGCACCTAATCCACAACAATCATATCTTCCCTGGTGCACCTAATCCACAACAATCACACTTGTTCTACACACCCGCCAGTCTTAGTAAGTTTATTTTGGCACAAGTACACAAAAGTACAATCATACATAGTGTAAATTACCTAGGGTAACCCCTCCCCCCCAAAAAACAAAAAAAAAGTCAGTGACTCATTTCCATTAGGGTCTTTGTTCAAACGATTTCTTTTATTTTTTGTCTAAATACCGAACGAGCTGCGGTGAGGTAGGCTTGAGTATTAGTTTCCTCAGATACAATGCTTGTACGTAGCACATACAATGCTTGTACGTAGCATATACAATGCTTGTACATAGCACATACAATACTTGTACGTAGCACATACAATGCTTGTACGTAGCACATACAATACTTGTACGTAGCACATACAATACTTGTACGGAGCACATACAATGCTTGTACGTAGCACATACAATGCTTGTACGTAGCACATACAATGCTTAGTAGCATTACAATGCTTTAGTGCCATACAATGCTTGTACGTAGCACATACAATGCTTGTACGTAGCACATACAATGCTTGTACGTAGCACATACAATGCTTGTACGTAGCACATACAATGCTTGTACGTAGCATATACAATGCTTGTACGTAGCATATACAATGCTTGTACGTAGCATATACAATGCTTGTACGTAGCATATACAATGCTTGTACGTAGCAAATATAACCCACATGGAGATGAAACGATATAAAGTGAAGCGGGAACTATTTATTTCGGCCAATGACTGAGAACCTTTTCAGCAGTTTAATGCAAATTTGCTTCATTTTGTATCTAAGTGGTCTTTTGATTTACACAGTGTTCATTATACTACCAACCATCGTATTTGTAATAATGTTACTTGCTGATGTGAATGGTAGTAGTAGCTGTGACATTTACGGAGCACCATGAACGTGTATTATACAGTGAGCACCATACAGATGCACCTCCTGGCAAGTATTAAACAGACCAGGGTACTGTAGGGCTTTGCCTGGTATTATTGTGTGAACATGGTAATGTCTGCCAACAGATTTGGGTACAATTCCTGAGTGTCAGAAAGTGAATGATGTGTTTAATTCACAAACTCATAATAAGACGAGTGCAAACAAACTACGGTTAGAGTGGGGTTAGAACTCATGGCGAATGATTGGTAAAACACCAGGCCAGACCGTAAGTCACTGGGTCAGCTGGCTACAATAAGATTCATCCAACTAAGTATATTTATACACCATAGGGAGGTTAGTATGTGCCTCGCTGTGAGGCTGATGCTAACTTCTCTATGGTGTATAAATATACCTAGCTGGATGACTTACTGCAGCCAGCTGGCCCAGTGGCCTACGCTCTGGCCTGGTGTTTTACCAATTATTTGCCATGGGTTCTAAGCCCCCACCCGTACCCTGGTTTGTCGTGTTTAATTTTTTCAATGGCTCGTAATATTTTATCCTTGTGTAAAGACAGCTAGGTAGGTGGTGCTAACAAACCTCGGCGCTGTTTAAATAACAAGCAACTGCATCACAATAAACAATTAAACAATTATATTAACCCTTAAACTGTCCAAGCAGATCGACGCTCATAAGCGTAGTGCTCCAAAAGTAGATCTACGTTTTTTTTTTTATATTTTCAAACATAACAAAAAAAAGTAAAAAGTTTTTTACACGTTTTCAAATGTAAAAAAAAAAAATTACTTTTTTTACATACTTTCAAATGTTGAAAAAACGTAGATCTACGTTTGGACAGTTTAAGGGTTAAAGAACACATTTACAAAAATTACAAAATTAAACAGATTACAAACATTTACATGATATTAAATAATAAAAAAGGCTACGTGTGTGTGCAAGCAGTGAGTGAGGCAGCTGTTGTTGCTTCTCAACACTGCTGCTACTGAAGGGTAATGACCAAGAACTCCGCTTCCCTCCCCCACAACCCCACCCAACAACACTTCCTGCTGTAGCCACCTTCCACCCTTCTTTCATCTTGTGGGGAGGGACCAAAGACTCACCCACACCCCACAGTTCAGGAGGAACCAGACTCACCCATACGCATCACCCACGCCCTTGTCAGGGAAACCAAGGACCCCAGTCTAACTTGCATTTGGCAGTGTGTATGTGTGTGTATGTGTGTGTGTGTGTGTATGTGTATGTGTGTGTGTGTGTGTATGTGTGTGCATGTGTATGTGTATGTATGTGTGTGTATGTGTATGTGTGTGTGTATGTGTGTGTATGTGTGTGTGTGTGTATGTGTGTATGTGTGTGTGTGTCTCGTGTGTGTGTGTGTGTGTGTGTGTGTGTGTGTGTGTGTGTCACTCTCCCTGAACCGTGAGCTTTATCATTCCTCTGCTTAAAGCTATGTATGGATCCTGCCTCCACTACATCGCTTCCCAAACTATTCCACTTACTGACTATCTGTGGCTGAAGAAATACTTCCTAACATCCCTGTGATTCATTGTGTCTTCAACTTCCAACTGTGTCCCTTGTTACTGTGTCCATCTCTGGAACATCCTGTCTTTGTCCACCTTGTCAATTCCTCTCAGTATTTTGTATGTCGTTAATCATGTCCCCCTATCTCTCCTGTCCTCCAGTGTCGTCAGGTTGATTTCCTTAACCTCTCCTCGTAGGACATACCTCTTAGCTCTGGGACTAGTCTTGTTGCAAACCTTTGCACTTTCTTAGTTTCTTTACGTGCTTGGCTAGGTGTGGGTTCCAAACTGGTGCCGCATACTCCAATATGGGCCTAACGTACACGGTGTACAGGGTCTGAACGATTCCTTATTAAGATGTCGGAATGCTGTTCTGAGGTTTGCTAGGCGCCCATATGCTGCAGCAGTTATTTGATTGATGTGCGCTTCAGGAGATGTGCCTGGTGTTATACTCACCCCAAGATCTTTTTCCTTGAGTGAGGTTTGTAGTCTCTGGCCCCCTAGACTGTACTCTGTCTGCGGTCTTCTTTGCCCTTCCCCAATCTTCATGACTTTGCACTTGGTGGGATTGAACTCCAGGAGCCAATTGCTGGACCAGGTCTGCAGCCTGTCCAGATCCCTTTGTAGTTCTGCTGTGATGCAGTTCAGATGGGCTTGTGAGGTCTCTAGGGAGACCTAATTATATGGTCACACCTGCCTTAGCAAATGTCGGGTAGTCACGCCACGTCTGGGGGTCTTTTGTTCTTAACGGCGTCAGACCTCGGCGTCAGGTCGTAACACGTGGTACATACCCCATTGGGGAGGGGGTACTTTGACTACGATATAAGCCCAGAGAACAGCGGAGCAAAGGGGTTGTTGGTGACAGGTCCGGGAAGCGAGAGCTCTGGACAGCCGCGTGTGTAGTGGACCACGCATTGGGAATCTCG